GTGTGTGTGTGTGTGTGCATGAATATAACCAATTGCAGTCTGCATTCAAATATGCACACTGTCAGACAAACACACTTCCAGACCCACTCTCCGTCTCCACCTCACTTGACATCATCTCAAGTGCTAACCTAATGCACATATGTGGTAAGCGCTATGTTCACAATAGGCCTTCCCCATAGGAAAGCATGCTTTTCTGTGGGGTTATGAAGCTGCAGGACATCCTCATAAGTGTGAACTCTGTGAAACAGCAAGAAGCACCTCTAGTGGATGTCTGGTTGACAGCCGATAGAGACAGTCTTAACCTTGCAATATAGAAAATGCGCCCAGACTACTTCAATGAGATAAAGTCTGGGCGCCTATAGTGTCCCTTTAATATATGCAAGCAGAATCACACCCTAATCCAATTCAAAGTGCACACAGGATGAATTAATAAAACTAATAATATATTGTTATTTTGTGTCTTTTTAAAGGGACACTCCAGGCACCCAGACCACTTCTGCCCATTGGAGTGCTCTGGGTGCCAACTCCCACTACCCTTAACCCTGCAACTGTAATTATTGCAGTTTTTTTTAAATGGCAATAATTACCTTGCAGGGTTAACTCCTCCTCTAGTAACTAGACAGCCACTAGAGGGCACTTCCGGGATCATAGCACAGATTATCTGTGCTATAGCGTCGCTGGACGTCCTCACACTGTATGAGGACCTCCAGCGTCGCTAATATCTCCATAGGAAAGCATTGAAAAGCATTTTCAATGCTTTCCTATGGAGAGGTCTAATGCGCGTGCGCGGCATTGCGGCGGAGGAAGAAGCAGCGACGAGGGACATAGTCGCTGCCTTTGGTATTGTTTTCCTGGCACTGGAGAGTCCCTTTAACTAGCTGTAATTCCAACAGGCACAGTGTAGCAGTGTAGTGTAGTAGCAAGATCACACACAAATAATATTTAATCTGCTTTCATGATCAACCCACAATATTATTAACAGACTACTATTAGTTGCTTTTCCAATGTGCACAGCTTGTATTAGCACAGCACTATAATCAGCATTAACACTGGATATTTTCTGCACATTGCACATGTGCAGGTGAATAAAAAAATGGCATGTTGCTACTATAACGACACATATTCTTTATGTGAAAGCAATGCTGCTAATATTTTAAATAGCATTGCTTATAGTTAGTTCCTAACAGCCAGTTCTGACTTGCTTGCTATATTGGAAATGTTAAACTTTACTCTAATATATGTTGAAGTCCATTTGGTTCAGGGGGAGATATGGACTTTTTATTCTCACTGTAACTACTAAATAGGTTGATATCTAGTAAAATATTAGGGATCACTCAAGTTGCATTATTTCCTGATCTTACAGTTTAGTTTTTTTAAATGGTCTACCTATTTATCTTAGACAACAGGGGAGAATTAGTGCAAAACAGGTGCTATTCTGGGTGCAAAATGCTCAGACACAGTTAATTGATTTTCATTATAATATTTCCTTGTTTGGCACTTTGCCCAGATTCGCACTGGTTTTACATTGATACATCTCCCCCAATGTGGGCAAACAGTGTAGTAACTAACTATTCGAGTCCCAGAGCAGTTACTCCAATTGTCCAACAGTGACAATTTTAAGAGTAGTATTCTATGAAGTTTCACTGCTTGACGAGACAGGCATGTCTTTGGCTCTCAAGGCAATACTCTCTGTGACATGCTTGCCATGGGGTTAAATATTGATATTATTAAACATTCAGAAGTACTTCAGTGGCTCTGGCACTTCCTTTTCACACTTTACCTCACAGGCCTTGCAATGATGTCTCGTTACTTATGAGATGAGGATACAATATGTAATGTATTCATCCTTTGGGAAAAAAGGATAAAAACATTACATATAAGGATGTTTTATGATGTTTTCATCCTTTGGGAATCTTAATATAATTTCTTCTGAACCTATATTTAGATTTTTGTCCTATTTTCTCTCTTACTAGGAAAAAACAAATATGTCTCTTTATTTTATTTTTTTAAGCTCTTGAGATTCCCTGACAATTTGAAATTCTTCAGCTGCAACAAACGCGTGATATTTGCCTATTGAAACGCAGATGTACACGCAATGACTTATAGCTTAGGCAGTGAAACAAAATTACTCCCAAATTGGTTATTTTGTCATGGTTTTACCATGCAAGATTGATTCTTTTTATACACAGCATTGAAAATTAAGACAAAATGGTTGCTTTTGAATGAGAATGCATTTTTCATATATTTTGAATGCTCCTATAATGTATTTATTTGCACAGATGATAAATATGTTGTTTTGTTATAGTATTTTGGGGAACTTAAATGATTTATGTAATAACACAGTCTGCTCTGCATCTTGTGCTCTAGCCAATG